ATGGTTAACTTAGTATAAAAAAAAGTTTTAGAATGATGCAGCCCACATTTGCAAAACCCTAATTTCTATAAGTAAACCGCGTCATGTTATACTATGACTTCTCACTGGCTGACTGGCGAATCACCAATTAAATTAAAATTAAACTTTAGGATTAGAGGTTTAATGTTTAATTAAAGTAGAGGTTAGATTATTTTAGAAAGCTAAATATTTTCACTTAATACAGTTTATCCTTGTTAGATCCCGTTATAGTGGATATCTTGTTATAGCGAAGCAATTTTCTGAAATAATTTAAAAGGTTTATAATTATATTATATAATGCTATAGCAGATATTCATTATAACAGACAAATTTCTCAGCCCAGCCACTATGTTATAATGAGTGTAAACTGTATACTAAATACAAATTATTTAAGCCGTTTTTGAGAAATAGTATATCTGGTGAATCATATTTCTAGTAAATGTTAAAATCGTCCTAAAAGTTTATAGTTAACTAAATTGTTTCTTTAGGATAAATCAAGAGCTACGATTCTGTTTTGCACCAATTCAACTGGTTCCTACAAGCTATGCCCCTTGGTTATTGGTTCCTTTAAGAAACCATGATCCTTTAATGGAATAAATAGATCACAATTGCCAGTAATATATAGAGACAATAAAAAGGTATGGATGAAAAATGATATTTGAAAAAAATGTTTAAAGTTTATTGATAAAGGTTTTCGAATTCAAGATAGGCAGATATTGCTTCTCGTTGATAATGCTGTTTCTCATATTACTTCTGAAACAAGCAATATGAATGAAGTTCAAGATATTACTGATGAATCTTTATCTAAAAATGCTTCTGATAATGAACAAGAAAGTTCGCGGAGAAGATCACAGGGAAGACTATAGGGAATACTACAGGAAAGACTATGGAGAAGACCACATGGAAGGTAGCAAGAAAGATCTTAAGAAAGGTCCCAAATAAAATGCTATCACCTTACAAATACCACTATATACTTTCTCCCTCCAAATACAACTGCTCACTTCCAACCCATGGACGCTGGGATTATAAATAGTTTTAAGTCCAAATATAAAAAACTATATTATCATTATTTGCTTGAGCAATTTGACAACAATAAAAAGAATAATGAGTAAATTTTTTTTTTTTACTTTTTTTTTTTTTTTTAATGCTATTATTTTAAACTTACTATATATTGCTTTCAGAAAACTTTTTTTAAGACAAGCTATCGATTTTATTAATGAAGCTTAGGAAGATGTTAGTGCTACCACCATAAATAATTGTTGGAAAGCTACTAAAATTTTAGTAAGCCAAGTGAAAGTGAGTTAGGTGGAACCGAGTTAGATGAAAGCGAATTAGATGAAAATATGTTAGATGAAAATGAGTTAGGTAGAAGTGAGTTAGATAAAAGTGAGTTAGAAGCAATCGAATCTGATATCCCTAAGGTCAATGATATTGATATGTTAATTGATGATCTTTTAGTTGATGATAGCCTGAAGGTTTAATAATTAATACAGGATATTGAAGAATACAGTAAATTAATTGACCAACCTGTTATAATTGAGGATATACTCACAGATGAGGATATAATTGAAATGGTAAAACATGACTTTAAAGATAATAGTGAAGTTAGTGATGATAATAATGAACCACCACCCCCACCGCTAGTAACTGTTACAGAAGCTGTAAAGGCGCTTAAGAAAGTTATAAGATATTAGGAGGGCCTTAAAGCCAGACAAGAATTCGATGAAAATAGACTAAAAATGTTAAGAAAAAATCTTAGAGAATAGAATTACAAAAAAGAAAAAAATAAAATACAAAGTTCAATTTTATCTTTTTTTAATTATGATGATTCAAGAGATATCAGATACTAAAGAAAGCCTGGTGATTATAAAGTTGCTACTACCTGTTTTTAGAGGTATGGACCTATTCTATTAATGTTATTCTATTTTTTTCTATAATTTTATGGATTTTATATTCACAATCAATAAATTTATTATATAATTTGCTAGGAGTTATTTAGAAGAAACAACCAGAAGATCTTTATAAGATTTCAATTATCAGAATAGTAAGGAGTTGCCCCAAAGATGTTATTTTCCAAATTTTGGTAATTTTTTTTGATTTAGATCAAGAAAAAAAACAAAAAAAAATTTAAAATTAGCTATTTTTTATAAGTTTTTGCATTACTACAATCAAGGGCACAGCTACATAATATTTTGCCCTTATAATGCTCTAGAAATTCGAATTGTAAATTTTTTGAATATTTTTTTTTATTTTTTTCTAAGAAATAAAGCCACTACTATCAGCCTAGAATAAATAGTTCGAATGTTGTAAAGACAAGCTTGATTACTGAATCAATAATCACGAATCTATTTGAAATGAGCTATAAACTTGAATTAAATTGTGTGATATTGAATTATAGGATATATAGCACATTTTTCAAACTTAATATGAATTTAAAATTTCACAGTTGGTATGTCTAGGATTTATTATAAAGTTGATAAGCTTCGATTTATAAGTGAGTCTGAACGAAGCTATAAAAGATCATAGAATTCTAAAATATATGGAGACAATGTTTTATTAATGATATGTTTTTTTGACAATCTGGTGTTATGATAAATTTTTTTTATTTAGGGGATGGCTAAAGCAAAGTGCAGTTAGGGTTAGCTTTTTTAATAAAGTTAGGGTTATAATTTTATAAAAATATCAAGAACACAATTTATGCTATATGTAGATCAATATATAAATGCATCTTGCTTTAACAGACCCCTTTATTTAGTATTATAGTTTGATCAAGACTTGGGACATATATAATCAAGGCTTTAACTCTCAGTAAGGGTAAAGAGACTTTTATCAAGAGTGAATAGCCCTCAGATAAGGATAGATAGCTGCTAGCAAGGGTTCAGAGTGTTTAGTTAATTTATCAAGAAAGGCTTGAGTTCAATTTTATCCGTATACTCTTAAATCAGGGTTTATTCAAACATGGTTAAATATAAATTTTTTTGTATCGCTTATACGATTTTAATCATTTTTGGCTATTTTCAGTTTGTTTTTTTTAAAAAAAAAACTATAAAAGTTGGGTAGGTATAACGGATAGCAGAATTCTAATTTAAATCAAGTTAGATTTTATCTATCAAGATTATATTAATACCAAGTTTATTACTAAAAATATTGTATTGTTGTTTGGAACACAAATAACGTACGTGACTGTAATGTTAAATTTTTTAGTGTTAAATATTTTATAAGTACGTGACACCAGAGATGGATAAATATAAACCTGATTTAAAATGTTAGATAATTCTGATACAAATAGCTTTACGTAGTGATAAGGTCTAAATATTTACAACTTAGTCATATAAGTTTTTTAAAGAAAACTCAAATATTTATTTGTTCCATGGTACCAGATGTTCAATGAATTAATCTCTAAAATTAGTTGACAATAAATTCATATTTGGTTAGTGCAATTCTGAAAGTAATACATACATAGTGTAATGGTTGGTTGGAGAGCGACGCACAATGAATGCGTGGCGTAGCTCCAACCGCTACTAGAAATTAGGTGGATTGAATAATAAAAAGTTTCTGTAGGGCATAGTAATTCTATTAGAGCGACTTAATGATGGTGTGAGACTAAGAAAAGAATATCATTATGTCTATGTTACTTTATTATAGAAACAAGGTTCTTCTATTTATTAAAATAAATGTTTTACTTTGATTAATATGAAAGAGAACACATTCTGGAACTTACTTTATGACATCAGAGGCACCTCTTTAAGAGCTTTAACAATTACGATTAATTTAGTTAGATAATTAATTACACCAAAAAGGGTAAGATTATAAAATCAATATATAGTAATAAAATAAAAAAACCTATATAATAACAAATTTAGAAAATGTTCTAATAAAAAATTCTTGCATTTTTTTTAAGTATAGTGAAAACCCGTGACATGTAATCTAAGTAACTGAGACTTGAATTAGATATTAGTTAATTGGTTCTAATTTGGTAGTAACATTAATTATCAAGAAGTGAAGTTCTGATCATTGAAACTGTAGTTTCAAGGATCTAAATTTTGATCATTGTAAGCCCTGGGTTTTTGTAATTCTTAAAAATGTATATAAAAGAATGTTTTTTTATGCTAATAAAGGGGAAGAACAATAATTATGATTTTGCTAACCTAGAAACCCGGATTAAAAAATACATTTTACTAAAGATAAAAAAATATATAAAGTGAAACGATCTTGAGTTTCTTAAGAACGTAAATCTTCACTATGCCAAAAAACCTTAATAAACGTCAAGATCAAGAAATTCAGAGATCCGAATTTAAATTCCAAAGATCTTTGTACGTTTAGCATAACAATAAATCTTGATCTTGTAAATTAAGTTGCTAAGTAAATAAATGTGAATGTAGTGATATAGATTAAGTAGTAATTATTACTAATGGTCCAAAGATCGTAATAGGTAAAGTATCTTGTAGAGTTGGTAGTATTACTATAATATTGGTCAATAGTTTATTTTCTTATAATGAAAAACCAGGTTGACCAGATTATTTGAAGCAACCCAGTTTGTAATCCGGTTATAATCTTTTAAACAGGTAAGTGACTAGGGTGATATTTTTTTAAACAGGTCTAATCACTAATTCTATGATAGCTTGAACCCTTAAGAATCGATCCCAAATAAGCTAACTCTTGAGTTACAGTTGATGCTAAACTGTGTACATATATGTGCTGCTCTCCCAAATGATTGTAACAGTAACCAATCAATTATTGCTTATTAAAAGATGCTTGGTAACCATATATCAGTGCACAAAATTTCTAGGTAATGTAATATGATTTTTTCAGAAGTGTTTTTTCTAACCGGAACTTAGAAACCACAGTTGTAAGTAGTTAAATAAAATAACAAAAATTTTCTGTTTGTTGCAAAATTAGAGCAGTAATTGTTATATGCAAACAAAATCTTTAGTATTTTATAATAAGATTTGTACTTTGCTAAATATATCTTTATGATATTATATATATTTAAAAACCTCTATATAGTCACTAGCTTTTTTTTAACTATAACTGTGACTATATAGAGAATACCTTTATAAGAGTTATATCTCTATATAATCATCAATTTTTGTATCCCAAAGGTGTGACTATATAGAGGTTAAACTATACTATAAAAAGAGGCCATCTAAAATAAAGCAGAATCACATGATATCTGACTAATCAAATTATAAAATTTTGATAATTAGCAGCAAAGCAAAACAAAAAATAAAAACAAAAAATCTAAAAAATACAAAAAACAGCAGCCTAAATCTACCTCGAGTAGGTTAATTAAAATATCGAAAAGTTAATTTTGCTTATATATAACTATCTAAAATCTAACCTAACCCTAATACAAGATAACCTTAACTCTAAAGTTAATTCAATAAAATATATATTATAAGAATCTGCTCTGCTTTAAATATCCCTTATAAAAAACTTGGGTCTCTTATATTCTATTAAAAAAATTAATTAATAAAAAAAAATAATTAGTAAAAAATAGGAGTAGGTCTGATATATGAAAAGATTTTTTATTTGATCTTTTATAGTAGTTTAAAATATTAATAAATCTTAAAAAGAATACAGTACCAGATATCTTAAATATTATATTTTTTTAATTAAAGTAGCAAGCAAATATATATAGAGATATTTAAAATTATTGCAAATATATATATAAAAACAAATAAAATTTCAAAAAAATAAAAACTGTTATAAGTATACAACAATACTAAAAAATAAAGACTAGTAGTACAATCTAAGCAATATTAAGCCAATTGTATTTCTAAAACTTTTGCAAGTATATAATCAAGATATTTATAAAAAGACTTACAAAAACTCTGTTGAAAAAAATATATTAAAAGATTTTAACTTTGCAAGTTTTTTAGACAACTCTACAAAAAAGCCAATATATATTCTTAATATAATTATAAAAAATACAAAAGATAACAAAAAAGAGCTATAGATCATATTTCAAGATATGAAAAAAGTATTTAATTTAATATTATTCTAAGCTTTATAAAAAGCATTAAAAGAATCAAACTGGCTAAGATTATAATTAAACTTTTATCAATTCTTTTTGTAAATTAATAATTTAGAATCATCACAAATTTGGGTTTAACAGATTTAGGTCTATAGCTTATTGGTTAAGCTTCCAAATCCCTACAGTTTAAGTTAAACTAGTGGTAATTTTTAATAAAATTTACTTCTATAATCTACAGGAGCTATAATTAGATATAAAACTTTATAAAAAATCTAAATACAATATAAAATCTGAATAAGAAGTTCTTAAAAGAAAACCAGATTATGAAGTGTAGACACTATATATGATAGTAGTATTACAAAATGTTTAGGCAGTAGAAGATTGCATGTATAAGTTCTCTGATAAGATAACTCAAAAGCAATATCAACATCTTATTATCTTTGTATTTGGCAATACTAATATCTTTATAACTTGTGAGATATTTGCTTGAAAAGATGATTAAGAGATTATATATTTAAGTCCTAATATATAATAGTATTAGGTACTTGCTTGAAAAAGTAATATAATACTACCAAAACTAGAGTAGTAAGAGAAGCAATAATATATAACTATAGATCATAATAAAGAATTATATTTTAACTAGAATTAAAAGTATCTTTGACATCAGTAGAATAACTATAGAAGGCTACTTGATATAGAAAATATAACTTACTCTGT